CTGTGATCCTGAGTGAGGCACAAGAGGTGGAGCGCCACCGAGGACACCTAGGTGTCTCCAGGAAGCCCACGAGGAGGCCCTGAAGAGAACAGATCTTTTGCACAGTGGAACCTCAGCCACTGGCACGGCATGGAGGAAAGCTACAGTGGCGTATCCAAGTGGCCTAAGCGAATGCTACTGATGCATAGAGCTGGAAGGTGTCCTGGAGGTCATCCAGTCCAACCACCTTCTCAGTGCAGGACACCCAATACAGGATGTAAAGGCTGATCAAGAGCTGTCTACCTTCTACTTAAGTGCCTATAGCAAGAGGAGCCCACTACTTCCGCTCCATCTCAAGTGCTTCCCGTCATCAGCAACTTTTCCATAACATTTAGCTGAACTCTGCTCCCTGCAAATACCTCCCATTGCCTCTATTTCTTCCCTTCTCAGCAAAAAAGAATGAGCTGCTTTCATTCACGGTGTGACAGCCCTTCAGGTATTTAACAGCTATCAAGTCTTCCCTTGATCTATTCTTCGCCAGGCTAAACTTACTCAGATCTTTCCAAGCCTTCTTTCCATCCCGGTCACCCTCCTTTGAATGTGCTCCAGTTTAGCACTATCATTCTTAAAATGCCATGCACAGGACTGGATATAGGACTGTAAGTGTTGATCTGCTCAGCAGAAAATTTAGCTCATGCTCTTCTTTGGAAAGGCCTTGAAGAACTTCCTCAGGAAGAGGGTGCAAATGCAGTGCCTGCATTTTCCATTTCCCTTCTGAAAGGTGCAGCATTTCTCACTCCCAGCCCTATTCATCACCTCTTACATGAAGGTTCAAGCACCTCCCATGGGCATAACCGTGGCCCTACCACAATGCTTTGGCACATCAGCATGTCCCTGCCAATTTCCCTTTGAAAACACTGAAAAGATCATTCACTGCCTGTTGATAATTTAGAACAATTAAGCATCAAAAAGAATACTGTCCATTAAAGGCTTCAATGGAGGCAATCACCAATCCTGATTCTCCTGTCCCTGAATCTAAAATTATACACATCATCTCTCAGTTTAAACATTTGATCACTGCTTCCCAGTTTATTATAATATTTTCCTGATTATGGCTAAGTGCTCCCCACTTTCCCAAGGGCTACATTCCAGGGGCAACATTAAAGGGTATTGTTTTGTTGGACGAGAGAACACTGGAGACACACTCTGGAATCTTTGCATTATTTACAAAGAGCCCAGCAAAGCAAAGGGGAAGGAACCTGGCACCTTCTGCATGTACTAAACCTGCTGCTCCTGGACCAGCTATCCAAAAGGACAATGCAGACCCTGTGGACCAGTTCAGCCTGCTGCCTGGTCCTCTCTCTCCTAATTTGAGCTGCTACCGCACTGAACTGCTTGTTAATCCATTTCCAAACTCAGTTCAAAGTACTAGCATTAATATATAAGGCCCTAAATCACTAGAGGACAGATTACTCCAAGGTTCATCTCCTTGCATATTGCCCAGACTCTAGGAGTGCAGGTATTCAGTGGAGGGCAGGAAGAACAGAGAGGCTAGGATTCCAAGGCATTGCCCTCCTCTTCTGCGCATTTCATTAGGCAGCCAATTCTGGCCTTCCACGTGCTCTTCCTCTTCTTGAGAGGAGGAGGAGTCAAGGGACTGCCTTGATTCCTTGGAGGATGCTGAGGCTTTGCAATCGCCCTCCCCGTTCCCCTCCTGGAAGACCCCCCTGTGCTGGATCCAAAGGCAGTCTTCCATTTTTTGAGTTCAGTTGGCATGGAAGGAATCACACTGGCTATCAGGGCGGAGTGGGGTCCCTTGGAGGACAAAGTCCAAGTTCCAAACTTGCAGTGTTTTTCTGAGGTCAAAGCTGGGACTTCAGCCTATCCTGCGCTGTCCCAAGCAATATCAGGAGCCCAACCCTTTGAACTGATGCTAGGTTGTCATCGTCACGGTCATTGCAATTGTCACTGTCATCATGCTTACATTGCATTTATGTCCCTCCCATAACAACAACCCCGTGCAATAGGTTGGACTGAGAGTCTGTGACTGGCCCGAAGTCTCCCAGGTAGCTTAATGGCCAAATGGGGAGTAGAACCCAGATCTCTGAGTTGTAGGAACCCAAGCTGTGGCTTGTTAGCCATGAACGGCCCATGAAGAGTACCCATGGTTTGTTGCTGTGTTGTGGGAACGGTCACCACAGATTGGAATCTCAGTTGGGTTTCAATGACAAACCATAGTTTAATGACAACCCATACTCAACCCTTGACTGTGAGTTATGTTGTCTGAACCCAGTCACTGCAATAATTTAGACCAGCCTTCCCCAAACTGGTACCCTTCAGATATGTTGGGTTGTATCTCTCACCAAACTTGGGCAGCATGGCTACTGACCAGGCTAGTTGTGGATGATGGGAATTGTTATCTAACATATAGTCCGGAGAGCACTGGCTTGAGAATAGCTAATCCTTGGTTTCTCTACACAAGGCATTATTGTGCAGCTGTAACTCCTCACTCAGAGTAATTTGTGGTATTTTACAGTGACAACATCCTCCAGGACTCCTCCTATGCTTTCCAAGCATTGCTGCAGCTTGTTTTAGAAAAAGTGAAATGAGCTATTCAATGGCTGTCATGCTATGAAACAATGTAAAACGGTCACATATTTTCACAGTTCCACTTTACCACAGTGCCCCCTTGTGTTTGTGCAATGGAACATACAAGAATAGCAAAGAAAGGGGAACTCTGGGGAAAAGAAGCACATGTAAAAAAGACTGTTTTAATTCCTCCAACAATCCAGGCTTCATGCGTCATATACAGAAGCCCTGATACTCTCTTTCACCTGTCCCAAATCATCTCACACACATATTATTATCTCAGGACTGCTCTCTTTCCCTGAACAAAGAACCACGAGTTGTGACAAATTCATTCTCCTGATTAGCTGTTCAGAGTTCACTTTGCCTGTCTAATGAAAGAATGCAATTTACTCAGATAATTCCCTTCCTTACAAACAGACCCCATGTTCCAAGAACCTTCCATCTGGTGGGACTTTTTAAATAGAAAATTCCAAATTATTTTTCCACTCCCATGCCCAGTGCAATGGCTACTGGCTAAACACCAAATCAAATACTTGTGAAATATTATGGAGGAGGAATACATTTGTGTGACATTGTTTTGTCATAACACAAACAACACGGAGCCTGTTGACAAACGAGTACGTATCTTGGCATTTATATTGCTCCAAGGATAGAAAACAGTGCTTATTTTCAACATCCCTCCTCATTGCCTCCTTAATAATGCCTATTTATTTCAAATTCACAGATGCATGTAAATAAAACTGAGATCTTCCTAAATGAGCAAAATGAACATTTGGTCTCTTCTGCTGAATATGGTTCTGTTGATTTAGCAGCCTAAAATCCAAGACAGATAGACCTCACCTTTTTCTACAGTTATCTTATAAATAAACTGATTTGGGAAGCCTGAGAAAATTCAGCTTTGATTGCAGTATATGTATAATTTCTGTTTTCCTCTCCCAGAAGAAAAAGATAATGATTGAGCTGGACAGGCTACCCAAATCAAAACGAGCCACATGAAACCTCAGGAGAGAGAGAAAATAATGACAGAAAACTGCTTTTCATCTTCAGTATTATGTCATAAGAGCTAATAATATTTCTTTCTCAAAAACTACCCTGTAAGAGAACTGAAGTCTGTGACATCAGAATTTAGGGAAACAGTCCTGTATCCTGAAAAAGCACTAATGTTTTATTTCTTCCAAATGTACAAATAACACAAAATGAAATGATGTTTGGCCAAAATGATACAAAATAAGAAACATCTGAGAAATTGCATCTTAAGAAGACTGGAAAAGGATTTCTCTGAAAATGTTTGCATTGGGGAGTTCAATATGGTTGTGGTATCCTTCAAAACCTAGCAAAACATCCTGGGACACTGAACAGCGTGTTTTAAAAATGCACACTTCCCCTAATCAAAAATGTGCATTTGATCTCAGAGTTACCTCCTGGGACAGCCGGCCCATGCCTGGCTCTGAGGAAGAGCCAGGCATTTTGGCTGGGCCTCCTGCTGCTTTGTACTCTCACTCCACCAAATGCCAAACTGGCCACCCTGGTGAGGGGGGAGTGATGCCCCACTCTGCTGCCAGAAGCAAGGCCTCGTGCAAAAGGTATCCGTCATGAAAGCTGGGCATGGAAGCAGGTTTGCTATGCGTAGGGTGCGGTGCAAAGCGAGGGCATCAAAAGTTATGCAACATATTGCCACAGGTAACAAATCAGCATTCAAAGGCATAGCTTTGATCCTGTTTGGGCAACTCAGATGTTCTGGAGGGGCTTTTGATAAAATGCCGGACAGCAGCATCCTCGGAGACTTAATCTGGGCAACGGAGCAGCTTCACTGTAGCTTCACCATCCTTGCAACCTAATACAATCCAGAACATCCGAGCCACGCTAATAGGTGAGGAGCAACTTGAAGACATGGGAATCTGGGCAGCCGGCAGATCTTTTGTTGAGATTGTTGAAGCTTCTGAGCTGATTCATTAAAGAACAGCAGGCAAAAGCTCTTCATTCTCTGACAATACGACATTTCAGCAGCAGGGACCATGACGGCATTCTTAACTCAATTTTACCAGCCACTTCCCACCAGTCAGCCCATGGAAGATTCCTATTTTAGGCCTCTAACACATTTTCCCATCGAATGAAATATCCCAAAGAATTTCCCTGAAAAACAGACAGGGAAATACATATGGATGCCTGCCCTGGGAGCAGAAAAGAACCGTCTGCTGCAAATTACTGGAATGACACACATACAAACTTTCCATCCAAGGCATTCCCAGGGATGGTGAAGCTTGGCTTTAGCGATCCATGAGAGCATTAGATCCCACTCTTGATGCGCATGGAATCTAAGCATGCGTAACTGTGGTCTGGATTGGCGCCCACGTTGCTTTGGAATGTGAGCAAAGATCTCCAACTGAGCAATTCTGCAGGGGCGCAACAGCTTAAGGGAATGAAAAACTCACCACATTTCATCATCCCGACTTCGTAGCATTTCCGGAGTCGGCAAGCTTGACAGCTTTTGCGCCGGTTTTTATCTATCGTGCATTGGTTTGTTGCTGGACAAATATAATCGTTGTGTCCTGCACAGAGATATAAAAGAAAGATTTTCTTACCAAAGGGAAGGAGGGAAGGAAGGAAGGAAGGAAGGAAGGAAGGAAGGAAGGAAGGAAGGAAGGAAGACATTTGGTCCTGAGAATGAGTAAATGCCTGCACTTTGCCTCACTAGGAGCCCATAGTTGGTTGGCTTGTCCTTGGCAGACCTCTGGATTGTGACTGAAACACAGAAACAGAACAAGTCAGAAGGGGTCTTCCGGGCCATCTAGTCTGACCCCTGGCTCCAGCTGCCTCCACGCATGACATGCCTACCATGTGCAGGTCTAGCCTATCCTTGAACACCCTCACCGATGGGGCCTCAACCACCTCCCATGGAAGCCCATTCCATACCCCAGGGGCCCTAACTGTCAGGAAGTACTTCCTGGCATCCGAATTTTGAACCTTGGTTCCTTGAGCTTGGCTCCGTTGGAGCACGTCCTGCCCTCCTCTGCAGGGGAAAACAGGTCTCTCCCCACCTCCATGTGACACCCCTCACATACCTGCATGTTGCCAACAGATCCCCTCAGAGTCTCTTCTTTCCAGGCTGAAAAGACCCAGTTCCCTCAGTCTCTCCTCATACGGCTTTCCCTGCAATCCGGCCACCAACCTTGTGGCCCTGCGCTGCATGGACTCTAACCTGGACTCTATCCTGGCTATAAATGAGCCTGCAAGGGCAGCCTGGGTTGCCATGCGTCCTTGATTGCACAAAGGACACCTCAACTCCATGGGCAGGAGCATAGGAAGGCGAACTGGCAGCCTGCAATGTGTCCCCCCTTTCCTTTCACCTCCATGTTGCAGACAGCTGCAGGATTCACACAAATCCCGCTATGTTCAGTGGGCCTACACCTGCATTTAGAACTACAACCTGAATTTGAGGAATGAGGGCTGCTGGGCTATTTATTTATTAGTTTTATAACCCACCTGTTTTCCTTTTTAAAGAAAATAAGCTTACACCATTCTCTTCCTCCTGCTCTCAAGTTTATCCTCACAACAATCCTGCAAAGTAGGTTGGATTGAGAGTCTGCCATGACCCAAAGCCACCCAGTTGGCTCCATGGCCAAGTGGGGACTAGAACCCAGATCCTCTGAGTCCCAGTCCTGCGCTCTTAACCACTGCACCATGCTGGCTCTCGGGCTTATACCAAGTCATGTTTGGGGGGGCCTTCTATGGAATCAGTGCATGAGATCTCCAACTCAACTTCTTTCTGTAGGGTGATGGTCTGAAAAGGAGAGACTCCACTGATTTTCCAGGCTCCCCCCCGGCTTGCACAGAGGGTCTTCCCAGGCACAGGAGGGGCTGTAGGGCTGAAAAAGCCTCCACTGAAAGTAACGCCACTTGGGAAGCTGCAGCAGGGATGACCTTCCACAGCGGAGCCAGGACTGCAGCCTGGAGGTTCCCCATCCTGTTCCTTGTATCCAAGCCCTTGTCCACTAGCCACCAGCAGAAGACAACTCATGCATCTGAGCGAGAAGCTGATGATGCCTGGGCACAGCACTCCATCCCTCCTCTGCACCCAGCAAGGAACCTGGTAGGGTTACCAGGGGACAGAAGAGCCCTTCTTCGTGCCCAGCGTGGAAACAGAGTGAACTGCTAGAGAAGGAGCAGCCTCTGGTCCTTCCTCTGCCAGCTCCCAAGAGGTTAGCAAACATTTTGAAGGCCTGTGGATTTGTTTTAAAGAATGGCTTTTAAAGAAAAAAGCAAAGCTTGCAGTTGCTTTTGTCTACAGCTTCCTATGTCTATTACTTCTTGCTCTCCACATTCCCATCCATCACCTCCATATCCCAGCAAAGTCAACAGCCGCTTTGCAATAGCCTGGGAAGCGGAGCTGGATTGCCAACCCTTTGGACCCCGAGCGGCTCTGGGCGAAAATATGATGCTCTGACCCCAACAGAGAATTCAAGCATTTCCCTACATGTTGGCCTGTGAGTGTGTTTTGTTTGAATGTTTTTCTTCCCACCACCCTCCTTGAGCATGATTTAACCTCACAAGGAAAGGATTTTGCAAGGCAGTTTTCCCAGGAAAGAAGTAATTTCCATGGGTGGAAAAAGACCACATAATTCTTGAGTCATGTGGTAGTGAAAACTGCTGAAGACCAACCGAGCGGATTAGCTTCCCTTTCACTCACAAAATTTCTGTTTTCCTGTGTCACCCTTCCGAACTGGAAGCCTTTTTGACCTGGCTCCAGTTGGGTGACAGGAGAGCCGTCTGTAGCTATCCAAAACCAAAGGGAAATACACGGATTAATGGCATTTTCACTCCACCCACCTTGCAAAGAGCTCTGGGCAGCAAAACGAGTGGCTTCCCGGAGCAATCAGCACTGCCAGCCAAGAGGTGCCGTCTCGCTGCTCTCCCCCTTATCTCAGAAGCACTGACTCTCTTACAGCCCCAGTTTTAGAGAATTTCACTGGGGTTACACTGGTGGTGGGCAGGGCAAACGGGGTAGGGCCAAAATCCCTCCCCCCACGCCCTCATATTTTCCTTTGAAGTTCTCACTGCCACTCAGTAAGCCATAGGGGAGCTTTTTCAGACTTTTTAGAAGCTTTTCTGGGCAGCATACAATGGCCAGGGAAGCAGCCAATGATCTGTTGTCGGGGGAATGTGGGGCAGCAGAGGGAAACAGTGGGGCATTCGGGAAACCCTGGAAGGGCAGATTGGACCCCCAGCAGCCTGGATGGGGCCAAGAAGGTTCCATACCTTCCTTCTATAAACCACTGCTTGTGAGCCACTGGGGCCTGGGGGAGGCCCCCAACCTCTTGAGCACGTGTACCATGGGTGAGGGTTACCTGTTTGTCAAGACACTGGCCCAGACAGTTCAGAAATGTGGGTCCACACAAGGGCAAAATCCATCAAAGCCACCACAAAGAAGCACACAGTCCACTTGCCACTCTTTTGTCCTCACAACAACCTTGCAAGGTAGGTTCAGGTAAGGGAGAAGGACTGCTTCCAACCCAAGGAGGGAGCTTCATGGCCAAATGGGATTAGAATCCAACGTTCACTCTGCTAATTACATGGATTTTGAGACCTTGCTAGCTCATGGACCTTGAAAGTGAGTTCAGGATAAAGGAAGGAAAGCATTTCAGGAAATGAAGGCATGATTTCAAGTAATACCTATCCTTAAAGACTGGTTTCTATGCTGTGAATTCATTTCACGAAATGTTTAGAAAGAGAGAAATGCACCTTGTGTCATTTACCATGGAAAGGGCCTGCTTGGTGCTGGCACCTTGGGTAGCCAAAAGCAGCTACTGGGGGGTCGTGGCCAACCAAGCTCTACTCTTCCAGCTTAGCCTGCCTCAAAGAGTTAATTGTGAAGATGAAGCTGGGAACGTACACTGCCCTGAATTCCTTAACAGGCAGGCGGGTGACCAGGGCAATCATTAATTTTTTTTCTGCTTCTCCTAATGTTTTTCTGCTTTTCCTAATCTGAATCCTAAGACTAGTTCACCCTTGGAGTAGAGAGAGGTCTTTATTAATTTCTAGGAGACAGCGATCTGACAGCTCCCGGGCAAGCATCCCAGGAATCAGAGGGTGGCTCGTGAAATTCCTTCTGAAGCCAGAGACTGCAGCCTGAACCTCAGAAGGAAGAGGCAGAGACCCCTCACAGCCCGTGCCAGCAGCCCTTCTGAGGTCAGAAAATTGATTTTGGAGAGGGGAAAATGGGCTTGCCAGTGAGCAGTGCGGCCAGGAAAGGAAGGCCCTTGCTGCAGTGCCATGTTAGCGGAACTCAAAAGCCCATCTAACAAAAAACAAAACACAAAGCAAAAGAGGCAATTAGAGCAGCGGTTTTCAGCCGCCGGTCCACGGAGGAGAGAAACAGCTGGATGGGAACTAGTTGGGAGCCATACCCTGCCAATTTCGGTATTTTCTTCTTTCGCTGGCATTTTTTGTTGCTCAGTTTCTGGCTGTTTTGGAGAAGTTTCATTTTTCTGGTATTGGAAACTAATACACTGTATTACTTGTATGGCGCTTTTTGCTTCTGCCTCAGCAGTCCCAAAGGAGGTTTTCCTATTTTTGCAGTCCCCAGCTGTGGAAAGGTTGCAAACCACTGGATTAGAGGACACAGAGCCAAAGACGGTCTCTGTCGCTCCTCCTGGCCTTTGGGAATCTTGAAAGCTTCCAAGTTGGAGAGCTTCTCAGCAGCAAGGACAGGGTGCTGGATTGCCTCTTAATGCCTTTGGCTGTAACAATCGGAGGATGTGGGATACGACATGCGTTTTTATTTATCCATTCTATTATTTGCATGTCTTGTTTTTCCTTCATCGCCGACCCCCCAGGCAGGGTACATATGGACCTCCCAGGCAGTTTCTCCCGCAGGCACTAAATATACCCAGGGTTGTCTGTGCTCAGACAAATAACCTCTGGCACCTGCTGGGTGTGATATAACAAAAGCCTGATGGCAGCTTTTGGAGATAAAAAGCAACTTCAGGACACCGTTTTTACTACCAATTTTTTTTCACTCCAAATTGCACCTGTACCCACTCCAAATTGCAGCCCCCACAGGTGACCGCCCACCATGATCTCCATAGTTCTACAGATGTACTTGGTACACTGGAAGGATAAACAGAAATCGGGAAATGGTGGAGCTGCAAAGTGGCGGGGAGGCAGTTTGGTAGACAAATCTGGTGTGCACATACGCATTGTGACAGCCACACAGCTGCACCTCCGAAGGAAATCTTCCGCCATGCACTACCTGTAGAACACTCTGAGCATTGGCAAAAGCTTTCTGGTCACCTGGAATGCAATGGCTAGCTTTTAATTACAACCCCAGCCAATCTTGCAAAGGAAATACGCTCACTGGAACTGTTTGCTTCAAGTAGGAGCTGCATCAAAGGAAAGGCATGAAGGAGAAATGCTGGTCTTGGTTAGCTCTCTCATCATTTTTTCTGTCTGTCTGTCTGTCTGTCTTTCTTTTCTTTAATTAGGAGAGGATATATTGTTGTTAATTGTTTTACTGTGCAATGTTTTAATGCTATTTATAAGAGTATATTGT